TGGTAGCCACAGTGGCTTTTCATGACGACACTGTTCACATGTCCACATTGACTGTGACAGATTTGTCAACACTGCTATGGATGACAAGCTTCTCGCCACCAAGCGGAATGCCGAGCAACCTAGCAAGTGGTCTCTCGACCAACAACTGTTCCTTATGGAGCACCCATCATTACATTAATTATTCGTTCCACGGTATCCTTTATGGAACCGTGCAGGAGTGTGTTGGAGGTTGTATTACAGACACCTCAATACAAATTAGTCGTTTATCCCAATCTAGTTGATAGGGGATATCTATATCTATTCTCTAGTTACATACATGGGGAGTTTAACTGATCTATATGGTCACCCCCTTCACTATATCCTTTGAAGTTGAATCAATCCCAGAAAACATGGAGAAAGATCACTTCTTGGAAATAGCTTAACAGTAAAACAGTATTTTACCTTTACTAAGCTAGAGTGTTACTAGAAATCAACACACATGGAGTGCAATCCTCCTTTCTGGTGCACTCTTGAGAGAACCAAAAACACTCATGAACTGATTGATTCAACCAGTTCTCATTGTTATACCAATCATGCAATGCCCTTCTGTGGCATAAAAGAGAGTGGCTAGGGCGTACCTTTGCCTGATCCTGCTGGTGTGGGTGTAGTTGTTTTCTTCCAAGTCTTCCAGTATACTCATAGGCAAGGGACTGGGGAGTGATGGGATCCTCCAGTGCTTCCAGAGTGTGATTGGACAAAGCTTCCAAAACAAGGAGCTCCACATCAGACAGATTTTGGGCATTTTCTGGAGGGAGTGGTGAGTAGGTGGGTGAGTCAGATACACTGCTGTTGGTGTCCTCGTTGTTTCTACCAGAATTAACAAGCACAGCCACCACAATAACAAGGGCAGCAACACAGCTGCCATACATCAGTACAGGCAGCCATGGTGATTGCTTCTTCCTTTGTGCCCTCCTGTTGTCTTGCCCAGTAGGATTTAAATCTGTCACGGGAAGGTCTGCATTGTCAGATACTTGATTGGCCACGGGAAGGCCATCCTCAAGGGAAACTGGGGCTGGTTCTGGTGGTATCAATGCATCTAGGCCTTCTTCCATTTCTGTTTCTGTACCACCCGATCCTCCTGGAGCCACTGCATACGCTCCTGGATGTGATAGGTCTGGTTCTTCCTGGTTCTGGGCGGCTGATGATAAATTACCTGGTCTGCTCTCTCCCAGATTGCGGGCATCTCGTTGATTCATCCCTTGGTTTATCCCTTCACACACCAGTTGATCCTTTTGGTATATTGCTGCTTCACCAACGATGAATTGATCCTTGAGCATCATTCAAGCTGCTGCATCATCCTTTTGGTGCGCTTTGGCTCTCTCGGCACCCACTAAATGATCCTTTTGGTACATTGCTGCTTCACCAACGATGAATTGATCCTTGAGCATCATTCGAGCTGCTGCATCATCCTTTTGGTGCGCTTTGGCTCTCTCGGCACCCACTAAATGATCCTTTTGGTACATTGCTGCTTCGCCGACAATGAGTTGATCCTTGAGCATCATTCGAGCTGCCGCATCATTACTGGTTGACTTATTGTTGGTCGACGATGCTGTATCGACTTGATTCTGTCCTTCACTATGGACATATGGATCACTGGAAGGGGATGGTACTGAGCCAATGAGATTTTGTGATGCCTCCTGGAGAGAGGAGGTGGTCTCGGTCTGTGACACATGAGCGGACCTGAGCCCAGAAAGCTTCGCAAGCTCTGCATCGCTATATGTACCGTGACTTAAGCGGTTTACTATGTGCAAAAGGGACTCATCTTCCTCATTGGTGCTGGTTTCGTGGTTGTTCTGGTCCATTTCAATGTCTTTTTGGTTGTTGTTCATGGTCAGCTAAAATAATGTTGTGTGCATGTTCTGCCAACCTTTGGCTGTGTTTTGCTTTACGATGTAGCTACTACTAGTAGCTAGCTACCGGTAGCTAGTTGTGCAGCTCGTACCACATAAGAGCATGCAACACCGGGGTACCTCAAATCACAAAACCCAATGGTTGGAGGTTGACCATACTCGCAGCAAGGCTATGCTTGCTCGCAAAAGAGAACCTCCTCGCACCTATTGTGATGTTACTGTGACGTCATTGATGATGTGGAAGATTTGTCCCCTAAGTAAATTTGAATCCAATTAGTCAAATGGGTTTGGGTCGGCTGTTGGGGCTGCGCAAATAGTTCCGATTTGCGCGACCACACGAATCCACATGTTCGCTAAAACACATTTGACTCAGCGGACTCAGGTCGGCCGGCGATACTCGATGCCAACCATTTGGGTTTTGTGATTTGGGGTACCCCGGTGTTGCATGCTCTGAGGTGATCTTTTCGGTCACTCTTCCTCGATGATTGCGGCCATTTTGGTGGGTGTGTTGACAAAGTTGGAAAGGGCCTGACTTTCACTTCAGTGGTCTTAGCTTGGGCCTCCGATGACTTATGAACCTTTGTTCTCCAGGATTAAAACGTCACAAATAATTGTCACTTTTAAGTATCATACTCCTCCGGGCCGTTTTTCGTGCAACCAAGTCGGTCTGACGGGACCCAACCACAGAGTATGACACAACGCACCAATCAGGCTGCAGAACCCGCCTCTTTGAATAAAAAGATTACTATCCATGTATATATTATATGTTCGAAATTCGCATCTTGCCAGCGTTTTCGATCCTTTAAACTCCTCACCCAATAAAGCACAACTTCAATTTGCCGGTGACAACACCATGGCCGAAAAGCCGTCGATCCAACCATGCCGCTCCATCTAGATACAAACAAGAAGAGATACCTTAACTCAGATGACCGAAAAGTCGTGTATTTCAGCTGCAAGAGCGCCATGGTGGACGGCAAGATTCCAAGAGGAGTTTTCAAGAGGGTGGCCAACTCCATGGGTTCAAATCGGTCAACGGTTTCAAGACAATGGGAATCCGTTAGCAGGGCTTTGGCGCCACTCCTAGATAACCATCCTGAGACAGCACATGCACAAATCATTGCAGCCAATGGCCACATTTTCGATCCTGGGTTTTCTTCAAGGCGAAAAGGCAAGTACAAGCATGACCGTGGAGCTCTCCGTACTACTATCAAGGAAGTTCCTTTGCAACAACGTCGAAGCATGAGGAAGCTCTCGAGGAAGCTCCACATCCCTCGTACGTCGCTGCGTCGAATGCAAGCCAAGAAGAAACTCAAGGAGGGCGAAACTGGTGATCCGTCGAATATCTTCCAGCCAACAAGGAAGTCCACGCTGAAGCCGACATTGACCGACATGAACAAGCTCACCCGTCTTAACTTCTGTTTGGAACAGATCGACACGGAGTCAAGGCATGGCAGAGCAAGCTACAAGTTCCACGGTCAGTATAACAAAGTGCATCTTGATGAAAAGTGGTTCTTCCTCACTCGCAACAAAGAAACCTACATTTTGCTTGATGATGAAGAGCTTCCCGACCGAGCCACGAAACACAAGAGCCACATCACGAAGGTCATGTTCCTCTGTGCACAAGCGAGGCCTCGCAAGGATCATGCCACTGGAGCGATTTGGGATGGAAAGATTGGAATGTGGCCCATTGGCCATTATACTACTGCTTTGCGAAACAGTTGTAATAGACCGGCAGGGACTACTGAGTGGCAGAATGACAATGTCGACCATGAGAGTTACAGAGAGCTACTTACGAATGAAGTCTTTCCAGCCATCCTTGAGAAGTGGCCGACCAATGAATTTCAAGAGCCTGGATTCAAGATTTTGGTACAGCAAGATGGTGCTGGAGGCCACACTTCAGCCGATGATCCAGAGATAATTAACTGGATCTATGAGCAAGGATTGGAGGATCAATTCGAGGTCTATACTCAACCAGCCAACTCTCCAGACCTCAATATCAACGATCTTGGCCTCTTCAATGCCCTTCAACAAGCATACCATGACTGTACACCCAAAACTTCTGTTGAAATAATTGAGTGTGTCCAGAAGACATTCAAGGACTACCCATGGCAGGCTGTTGACCGACTGTTTGTTACTCTGCAGTCGGTATTCAATGAAATTATTGACTGTGGTGGCCACAACACCTACAAGATCCCTCACATGAACAAGGAGCGACTACAAAGGCTTGGAATTCTTCCACGGCAACTCGATGTTTCTCCCAACGCTGACGGCTACTTGTAAAGGAGTATTTCTCACGCAAGCGCTGTACCGATATTGTTGTTGCCATCTGCACCTCCCAGGTAAGCCTCAGCTGGTCACATCCTCTCGTTTTGCATCATGTTGGTATTAACTCTGTTGATTTTCTTCTGTCAGCGGTAGGAGGTGGCTCTGTTGTTGAGGGTAGCAGCTGCGTCCGAAACCAACTGGCGAAGAATCGACTGGCTCTCAGCCATTCGCGCAATTTTTGCTTACAGTGAAGTACCTTTATGCTAGCCTAAGTACTAGAACCTGTTCGAGTGAGCATTGCCTCCTGTAGCTCTGGTACATTTTCTACGTGCTGACTCATCCTGTTCCATGAGAAGCCGTAGGATCCGTTGCACCAGAAACGGCCCGGAGGAGTAGGGACTATTAGGGACCTCCTAATGAATCACGCTTCTCATTCAACAAAGTCTACTGTTGGGAACCAAGGAAATAAAGGACAAACTGAATACAGTACCAGGTACTCGAATACTCAAAAAGCGCGACGAGGAGCACGAGACACCAGACCGTATTAATATGATAGTACGATAGTACTGGGGCGACCTCTATTTTTACCTGAACTACCTGGTCCTGTTGAACACAACACCTGACGCCCAACAGGACCAGGAAAGGCGAGCTTTCTATTAATAGAGGACAGCGGGTCAACAGCACCACAATGTAGCATGCCAGTTTTAGTCTTGTGTTCGCTAGTGACTGAATTTTTCTCAAAAATCACAAGTCACAACAACAACAACAGCAACAGCAACAGTATATTGCTGTTGTTGTTGCCATCTTTGCTTCTGCTAGAAGGCAACCACACCCCCCTCCTTGTGATTACTAGTGGTCATATACCCTCTACTACTATTCTACAAAAGGAAGCTGCTTATTTCAAAGGGCTTTACACTGTTAAAGTCAACATCTGATCCTTGCTGTATACTGCACATACCGCATACTGTCTGATAAAAAATCCTGCATGTACCGTTTACGGTTTACCGTACATACGGCATATTATCAGATCAAAAATCCCGTCTGTACCGTTTACGGTTTACAATACCCACAGTTTACTGTTTACGGTTTACCGTCCATCCGTTGTTGACCACTTACAATTTACGGTTTACGGTTTTACATTTTACGGTATACGGTATCCGCCCGCCTACAATGCCTCCAAAGAAGAAACAACGCAAGGGGAAACCCAAAGTCACAGCAGATGAGACAGAGGAGGAGGAAACCAAGATCAATGAGACTCCTCTTCTTGAGCCTTACCCATATGGCATCTATCCAAGCTACGAAAGTATCCCAAAGGAAGCATTTGTGGATGCCATGGAAAAGCAAACTCCAATGCCCATTCTCTTTAGAGATAAAGAAGATCAGCTTACTATGATAGTACACAAGGACACACCAATTATCTGTGGTCACTGCTTTGGGCTAGACACGACAGAGTTCAAATACTCTGGAAAGGTTCGCCCTATTGGTGGTTCTGGTTTCAATCAGCACTTAAATCGCAAAATTGCTCCTGAAAAGAAACCAGAATGTTGCTTCTTAGGTGTAAAGACAGCAAAAAAAGAGCTTCTTGCCGCTGCTTCTACAGACAACAACAACAGTACTGATGGACATCTTCATGAGTCTCTTCAGGACAACGATGAGCTTGCCGAGATAGCCAAAAGGTTTGGTGTTACAATTTTGCCAGGAGATGCTAAAATGTCTGCTTCCAAAACAACAACTAAAAAGAAGGCATCTACTGCATCATCAAAGCCGCCTCGCCCGAATAAGCCCACTGGAAAAGCTGTAATGGTAGGAGCCAAAGCAAAGGCGTCTAAGACTGCCATGGTGGAGCCAAAAAAGGTTACTGTCAGCAGTGAAGTGACCAAGCCGTCGCCTATGAGAATTGGTACTCGCTCAACTCACAAAATTGATGGAACGCCAGTGCCAGGTAACAAAATTGATGAAAGTGACAGCATGCTCAAAAAAGCTGAAGGCAAAACCCAAGGCAAGAGGAAGGTGCAAGAGCATGAATCGGAGGATGAATCGGAGGATGAATCAGAGGATGAATCGGAGCATGAATCGGAGCATGAATTGGAGCATGGATCGGAGCAGAAAGCCAACCAGAAAGCTGACCAAGAAGAGGAATCTAATGAGTGAAGTGACGGATGGTCGTGACAGTATTAACAAAACCAATTGACAAATAGTATAGTGCTCCTTATTTTTTGTGTTTATCTTGTGCGGCTGGACTACCAATTGGTTTTTTCCTCTTGTGTGATGTTCTCTTATCAATTTGTGGTAGACTTGTCATTGAGCTTGTTTTGCTACCAACATCATTTGTGTTCATTGCTGTCAGCTCAGCATGACACCGTCTCAATGCATTCCGCATATGTTTTAGCTGCTCTGCATTTGTTACAATTTTGGTGCAGTCACTGAAGTCCGGAAGCAGTGTGTGATATGCACCATTTTTGGAGAGCATTTGTGATAGCTGGGTACTATTGTTGCCATCCTCGTCAGAGGACTCACCCACAGTAGATGGCTCCCAATGGTTGAGCGAATCTGATTCATCATCAATTTGCGCTTGTGCAGATTGCTGGATTTCTTGTGTGATTCCAAAGAGTGTGGTTGTACTCTGAAACTCTGAATACATTGGGTGATCTTCAATCCATGAATCCCAGTAGCTCGGGGAGCGCAATTTGACTCTGTTCAATGTTTCTGTAAAGAACTCTAAGTTGGCATCCCCCTGTCCTGTAACCGACCATCTGAGAATTGGACTAATTTTTGTTTTCACAGGAATGCCCATTTTTTGCTGCAAGCTATCCCGTATTCGCAACAGCTTTGTACTCAGAGCTTGATGCTTCGGATCTCCACAGTACAGATTGTATGCTTTCCAGTAACGGATTTTTGCATCACTGCAAATGGGAGCCCTGTCAAAAACCTTATAGAGATGTCTGCAAGCCCAACCGTATTCCTCATAACGGCCACATGAGCAGGTAGCTATCATATGCCCATCGATTTGATTCACTGTGATTATTCGGGTCATTTCAAACGCAGGTATTACAAAGTGTCGTCTCCTTGCAAGCCGTTGTTGATAATGCTGCTGCTGCTCACCTGCAGTTGACTTGGTTGGCTTAGGTCGGTTGTACCTGACATAGTAGCAATTCTTGTTGACACAGTAAGCAGAATATAGTGACCTAGCTACCCATTCCTCAGCCAGCTTTCCATTGCAGTAGCTGTTGAGCTGTTTCACATACAGCTTTCGGGTTTCATCTGATGTCTGTGACGATGTCCACTGCTGGGCAGCTTGTAATGTCTTTTGTCGTTCTCGATTGTCGCTTAGCTTTTCAATACATTCTTGGGATGTATCAATACTGTGATTAGGCTTGGGACCCACAGCACTTCGCCTTAGAGACGAGTTTTCAATCTCACTTACGGTAGAAGTAATATTGCCAAGATGCATCTTGCCTTTGAAGTTGTACAGCAAAAGTAGATGTTTCTTGGGAGTGAAAGACTTGTTGATGTATTCCTGAAGCTTTGATCTCAAAGTCTCTCCAATTGTACCACTATGGAGTTGTTCATCCTCCTTCAAATACTCATCAAGTAACTTGAGAGACAGGTTTGCTTGATTTTCGGTTTCTACGGTTCTAATTAGGGACCATAGCCAAGAAACAAGTACCTCCCATTCTATCTTGTCATTGCTTCCATCTTCGAGATCTGCAATGTGACTGAGGAATTTTGAAGATTTGGTTAGATTACGGTTCAGTTTGTGCCAACCGCAAAGTCGAACTTGTGCTAGAGAATAGGGATTTCCATTTCCCGAAGCTGCCATCAAGGACCCATAAGCTCTCTCATCTTCATCGAATGCAGCAAGCTGAACTCTTGATAGAGTATTGTTGGAATGCAGAGCAGGCATTGCTTGCTCATAGAACCACTTGAAAGGCCAACCACTCTTTGATGGAAACAGTGCCCAAGTATGACTAAAGGTTTGATTGTTGGCTGTTTTCCCAGATTCAATATTCAATGGGCGCTTTTCGGCATTGGTACCTTCTGTAATGTCCGCAGAGTTAAATTCTGGGAAGAGACTGAAGGTTCTGCGTGCTTTGTCTGAAGTCCAAGCAATTGCTAACAAAATCAAGCCACTTCCAGTAATGGAAAGAGCTGATCGGACACCATGTGAAAAGGCTGCAGCAGAATCAAGTACATCGGCCACAGAATCGGGATCCACCTCCCCTGTACCAAGGTTTGGTCGCTTTTGACGGATTGTCAGGAGATTAGAATCAAATTCTGCGAACAGAACAGCAAAAGATTTGGTTTTGTCATTTTCAAGACGTGATAGGAGTCGGTCAGCCGCAGTTGCCTCATTTGCCGGAATGATTCCATCAGGAGACCAGCATGATAACACTACTGTTTCGCGCAATGATCTTCTCAGTGATTTCAGCTGATTGGCATTGATTTGGGCACCAGTTTTGTTGTACACCAACATCTGTATGGTTGTAGGAGATAGGTGCACCTTCAAAAGACTCTCTGCCAGTTCCATGACATCTTTGCCTTGGTGAGACCGTTGTAGCAATATTTGATCAGGATCCAGCATGGGATGGCCACAATGAGTTGCTTTCCCTGCTTGGTTCATAGGAAGGTACCAGCGGGAGTTAAATTCGCTGAAAATAACCTGAAAGTGGAAAGGACACGTGATACCTTCACCTCTGATAGGTAGCTGTGTTGTTTTTCTCTTGCTGTCATCACACTCCTGTGAGGTATGGAACGTGTACCGTAAACGGTATATTGTGAAGACAATGCATATGTTAGCAGAGTTATACATGCGGTAAACGGTATATTGTATGTATTATATGAATATATTATAGGCGGTAAACGGTATATTGTACGTACCGTAGGAGTGTAGTACCTGTGTCTGGGACATACAATTCTGATGATTTTTCTTTTCTTATCCCATCCTTTGTTCTTTATTTTGAATCCAGCATCTTTACAAGGCAGAGCAAAGTAGGGCATCAGATCATTCTTAATAAAGTCACTGCTGCAGCTGTTGAATTTACTGGGAAGCCAATATACATTGATGAGTGAAGACTTCAAGTTGTATATGTATCCATCAGTCTTCCTCTCTGTATGTTCCAGTGTATCCATAAGATTGACTTCTATCTCTCTATCATCTTGAAGAGAAGTAGCAACCTTCAATATCACTTCAGTTGGTTTCCAGACAGCTGAAGTGCAGTCAAAGTTGGAAAGATTATGTAGGTTTTCAAAGTATTCAGCCATTGTTGATCTGTTTGCTTTGTTGATATGATGCTGACTTGTGATGATGCTGCTGTTGTACATGGACACAATGACTTAGATAATGACCAAAATTCGTCTACGGTAAACGGTAAACGGTGGTACTCAGGAAACAAAAGAATCTAAACAATATACGGTAAACGATATAGAATTTTCTTTGGTAAACGGTATATGGTTGAAACGGTATACGGTTGACCTTGTGTAATCGGTGTAACACCGTTCACATCGTTTACCGTATACCGTATTCGCCACCTCATTGGTGGTGGCTAAATTATTAAGCAGAGGTATTTTTTATTTAAGTGCCACCTGGTGGCCTGCTACATTGTGGTGCTGTTGACCCGCTGTCAGTAGTACTATTTTAGTACGACATTGGAGTATTACCGGTACGGGTAGTATACCGTACTGTACGGTATGCATAACGTTCGGAAGCAGTGATCTCGTTTGAACAAAAAGTTTCAGCGATCCTCACAATTTGCTCTGAAATCCAACTTGGTGCAAGTTGCTACGTACTAGTAGTACCGGTATACGTCGCTTCATTCGAAGACAATGACACGATCCTCAACAAGGCAACTATTTGCAGTGATAGTACTGTTATCATATTTCATTGATGAAGTCAGACCTGGCGCTGCCATTGAGGCAATCTCGCAGCCTTTCTTGGGTCTGAACTGGGATGTCCTGATCACAAATTGGCAGCCTCCGCAATGGATCTGCAATGTCGCCTACTACACACTGCCGGAACTCTGTATTTCTGCGAATGCGACTAGTAAATTTTATGGTTCACCTCGAGACAAGGCCAAGCAATGGGTTGCAGAAAACTGTGCCGCCAGTGGCTTTGTGAGTCCAGATCAACTAGCACAATTGGAGATTCTCGCCGAGTTTTACTATTCGACGGGAAACAATGACAGATGGGGACCACTCAAGAACTTGCAATGGATGACGGACTGTGATCCATGTGGAAATTTTTGGGAGAGAGTCTTGTGTCATGGCACACGCAAGAATATCACACAGATTTTTCTTCGTGAGTGAACAAAGCGTTTTGGTTAGCTTTTTCTGGTCCCTTGATTCTGAGCAGTACAGTACAGTACATCTCTCACGCTTTTTACTTCTTCTGAACACTGTTAAAAGCTGACATTTGGCCACCACTACAGGGTCCTCTACCGGTCAGCTTTGCAAATCTAACCGAACTTGAATTCTTGTTCTTGCACAACAATGCGTTTGAAGGAGAAGTGCCAGACGAGTGGGGGCGATTGTTTAACTTGAGTAAGTTATACGGTAGTGTTGATTACTATTGAGTAAAGTATGTTTTCGCCTGACCTTATCTCTTCCTCCTCGGCACCGACAATGCGCCCAGATGTTGCTTACCTGCACGGGAACCGTTTGAATGGCACAGTGCCCGAGTCTGTTTGTGCTCTGCGCGACGGAAACTTGCAAGAACTCAGTGCGGATTGCGAGGGTGGTTCATCGGGGGTTAGCTGCGACTCGGATTGCTGTACCGCATGCCTGGATGAACACATTGCTCCATTCTTTTTGATTGGAGGTGATGCCGGGCCTGTCGGTTTGGGTTCTCCCTGAAAGCTCTTTACTTCGTTGAAAATCGTGCGGGGTACCGGCATGCACGAAGACGCAACAATACACACTCTCTCCACGATAAACAGAACACAATTCAAGCACAACGTGAATACTATTTTGATGCATTGATGGCTTCACAGAACGCTATAATCAGGTGTGAGATCAAGTTTTCGCACAACTACGACGAAAGCAGGACATTTCGAACCCGGTTCAAGTTCATCCCCACCAAGACACAGCAAACCAATCACAACGTTTCCTCTTCCTGACGATATCACATTCGATCTGAGTTAGTTTTGATCCAGCATGAGCCACATCAGTACCTCTACTAGTGCGAACCAGTACCTCGGTTCAAATGAGATTGTCTGAATGGGTTCAAGGAATGGTTGCATGAGCGCAAAGGGGCTTCTGAAGAGGAGCAAAATGCAGCTTCTGAGGGTTTCGGTGCTCTTCTTTTGGCTCGTGAACCATAATAGCTTACCTCGGCCCCGCGGTTACGTTGGTTGCGTTGGCACTGGCGAAAATTGAGGCCGCACGGCAGCGTTGAAGAAACCAAAGAGCCAAGACGATTAGCTCTAGTCATTGTCCGACAGACTTTAATACAAAAGGAAGGGGGCCCATTATCAGTGTGGTTGGTTGGCTCTGAGTTGGGTGTTTTCTTCTCTATTTGTTGTGTTGCAAACCCACGTTTGATGATGAAGTACTAAAAGTGATCAACAATAATTTTTAATGCCATAGCGAATTCCCCATATCCAACCTTTCTCTCGCTGATGCTATCTCCCAAAGAACTTTTTGAGAGAATAGGCATTGGGTCTTTGGTTAGGTTGCGTTTCAAACGTCATTATGGCATTGATGCGAGGCTTTTGAGATACCACGGGTGTCACTCGATGCAAATTTCTGGCCCCGGCGAAGAACACCAGAGATCCTGGTCCCACTGGTGGATCTTGTATCCGTTGTGCCACTGGTGAATGGGCATCGTCCGACACGTCGAGAACGTTTTGAACCTTGTCAAAACACCAGGCACTGTCATCCTCTCGGGTATTCCAGCACAATTCAAAGTCTCCTCCAAGTTCTCCAGGTTGCAACTCCAGATTGACTCCAAACTGACTTTTATCAAAGTGCCATCCCAAACCATCGTTGGGTTCGTAAAGGTTGTAGTAAGCCGCATTGTATGGACATCCACTAGTGTAAAGTGTATCGTCCTTAATTTCCGAATCAGACCGAACCACATAGGAGACAAAGGCTTTGAGTTCCGGCGACTTGTAGAGAATGGCCAACGGAGAACTCTCTTGGTCAATTCGGTCAAAATCAATAATCCATTTGGAGCTGCGCTGGAGAGCATTTCGAGGATGATCTTGGGCAAAACTGGAATCGTTTGGTTCTTGATAGACAGTGTGATCTTCCGTACT